CTTAAACCACTAAACAAATATTTTTTGACCAAAATATTATGTCGTGTTTCTTTTCGAAATCATAATTTGGAATTTATAAGTACTACCACTTAAATCTAGTTAGATGCAAGATTAGATCAAATCTTCTTTGTTAGTGCTCCTAGCAAAAAAATATTACAACTAAAACTAAGATACCAGTTTAAATATTACTGCAATTGTTTCTTTAAAGGCAAGTATAAATGAAATTATTGTAAAATAAAACCTAGCAAAATCTTACTACTACACTAAATTTTGCTATTTCAGTCAACAGTAATACAAAAGAAAGGGAATCATATTTAAATACACCCAACCAAACTAATAATTTCCACAGGTGGATCTGCCTCGTTCAAAAATAACAGAAGAAGAGGAGGGAAAGTTTTCTTTACATGTTTTTAATAAAGGTACTTAATACAACTGAAAATGATTATTCTTAGTTAATTCCTGTCACTGATCATTTAAAAATATAATGTTAGAAAAAAATATTTATTTAATTCCAACACCAACTAACTATTTAAACAACATAAAGTAGTAATGGTATGTGAAAAGAACCTTTTGTAATTGCTACTTTTTAAACAGGAATAAATTAACTGGGCTTTATACATCTAAATATTTGTGATTTTTTTCACTTTACAAAAATTCTGCAAACAGCTGTCCATTGTGAAATTGTTTAATTTGAATTTATATACAATTAGTTATTACTGTAAGTATTACAGTTTTATTACATTGCTTCATCATGTGTTCTAGCCAATAGACTTCAAACTTTGTACATCTCACTGAATTACATATCTATAGTTGTGGAAACCTTAGTTTCTTTCAAATGCTTGACACCTTATTTTGATTTTAGCTTAGCAAATATTTTATGTAATAATGTGATAAACTTACAGATTGACAATAATATTTTTTTCCTAGATGGGTCCACATAACACACCTCTTGACCTATTTCTCCAGGCTCATACACATGTATACTTACTACACTATAAAATAAAACTCGCCTATTTCATTTTTTAAAATATTCAACCAAATGTTTAAGTCTGGGGTGTTTCCATTTCCAATTTTCATGTATATATATTTATAATATTTGACATTAATTAACAATTTGTGCATAACCTATATAGAAAAAAATATTTTTCCAGAACTTTTAACTAGAGTTAACATTTTGCAACAAATACATACTTCCACTCACACTATTAGCTTTTTTGTGCTGCCCTCTATATGTGAAGTTTTTTGCTGGCCACTAGCCTTGAGGCTCCCACCTAAATTCACATGTTTCCACAGAGTATTACTGCCATGTAGCATGCAACACAGGCTCCTAGTGCAGCTGACTGCTTCTATACTGATTGTTCAATCGTCACTTCGAGATTAGACAAGAAAAGATGCATCGTAAGTGTGAGCGGAGGTATCTATCGGAAATACATTTCTAATTTTAGAAAACGTTAAATTCCAATACAATACCTTACCTCTTCTCATATATTAGCTAGAATCCCACATTGAACTGGTAGAGGTACCTAGATAAGCTCCTAGGGAAAGCCCCAAGATTATAGGGGCACACATACGAGAGACTATACCAGGGTATACTCTTTGCCTGTAGTGAAAATGTGTCAACAAGTTGGGCAGAAAAGAAGCAAGTCCAGAAACACAGTATGGAAAATGGGCATGCTGTATGGTGTAGTGTGGCTAGGGCATATAAGATGTACATGATGGATCAACTACAGTCAAAACCAAAAGGCATCAGTTACTTGTAATCTGGTCCACAGTAGGAGGAGGGTCGCAACCATCTTCACCTCCATACCAGGAAACAGAAGGCAAAAGTAACTTCCATTCCACCACCCCTACTCTCTACAGAGTAGAATTGGTCACACTCAAAAGGAAGCCTCCATGGTTCACCACCCCAGCAGCTATAAACTGGTGAATGGTAAGGACTCCCATACTACACTAGAAGAAGGGGAGTAAAAGTGTGTTAAGGAGTCCAGAGGGATGCCTTAAGTCTGTGCAGTGGGTGATCACGAAACCCTATTTTTAAAAGCAGGCCAGTCCAGGTTTATTCAACTAGGACTGGAGGGATGGGCAGCAATCCCAACAATGCATGACTCATGATAGTTCATGAGTAGGTACAGTGAACATTTCAGATCCGAATGACCGCATGGTGCAGATTTAAATATAAATTGACCTTGTCAGGCACTGCATGCCACTCAGCAGAAACCTGAGATGTAGATTAGGGCCCTGGAAAGATAAGAGAGAAATAAAAAGAACTTATTAAGTCAGAGCCAGTAAGGTGTATGTAGAATGGTGAGGGGAGGAAGTCAATATCCTGAAGAAGAGGTGGCCAGATGATGAAGATAATGTGCAATGAAAGTATGTAGGGTAGTCCATATGCCAACCCACATGTCCTTCTCCTATTAATGACAGAAGTAAGCAGCCAGAGAGAGAAAGTAAGGTATCAGATATGGTGAGAGGAGACCTAAAAGAATTGATGTGAAACTATATCCAGTAAAGTATAGGCTAGATGGATGAACTGCTGTAGCCCTCCCATGAGGGTAATAGGAGAAACACCTTTGAAAGATGAGGAATTCAAAGAATAAATAGATGGGAGTGTGAACCACGAAAAGGAACAGTGCAGGTCAAATAACAATGAAGGAAGGGAAAGAATAATGAATGCACTGTCCTCTTCATGAGCCACTGAAGTATGTGAGAGAAAAGCATGAGCAGGATAATGAAGAATGTAAAAATGATGACAATGAATATGGGAAGCATCAACAGCAGACACATCAGATCTCCTATAGCCACAGGCAAAAAGTAAGAGATAGGACTTAAGCAAAAAAATGGTACAAGGAACAAGAAACTAAAGGTTCAAAGAGAGGAAGGGTAAGGGCATGGAGAACAACATTCAGGTCTCAATCAGGAAGGACTGAAGAATGAGGAGGACAAAGGTGGCAAAACTAATGAAAGAGCATAGAAAGGACAGAAGATGAGAATACATGAAAATAATGGGAAAACCCAAAAGTATTAAGTAGAGCTGGCCTGTAGCCAGCACAATGCAGAGACTAAGTACAGAATGATTGCCATTTTTATGAAAGAGGAGGAGAGGACCAGAGAAGGGTCATTAAAGGAAACCACAGTTGAGCCAGCCAGTATGAATCTATCAGAAGGACTTGACACCAAGTATCCCGAATGAGGGAAAGCACATGAGGAAGAAGACGAATAGAAGTGTAGGCACAGAGGAAACAATTGGACCAGTCCTGACTGAATGAATTCACAGCTAGAGCTGATGGAAGAGAAATAGGGGACAAGAAAAGGGTAGATATGGTGTTGAGATGAGTGGCAAAAACATCTAGAAGTGGAGTGCCCACATGAGAACACAGCCACTTGAACATCAGATGACCGAGGGACTACTCCATAGGTAGTATCCTGTTGGGCCTTGAGAGATGATCCTGACAAGATTCAGGATACCTAGAATATCACAAGCTATTAGACATACTTGTAAAAAATGGGCCCATAAAAGGATGTAGTGTGTATGGAAACAGAGAGAGCAAGACTAAGTGTCCCCCTCAGGACTGATATACCAGCAAAAATTCTAAGAGATGGATAAGAAGGGAAGATTTGTTGTGGGACCACCAACCAGAATTCACTTAAGAATCATGACAGATAGAAATCCAGACAATAGGAAGGAGAATGGTGAATGATAAGGGATCCCAATTGAGAATCCAGTGATTGTGCAGAGCCCATTGTAAGTGTTATAAATGAGCACGACCCTATAGGAAACAGAATTACATGAAAGCTCAAGGCTCCAAAAGAGAGAGAACCTCCTGCACAGTGAGAGAAGGAGAGGACGTGGGAAACTAATTACTCCATGCCCCTCACAGTAACAGAAGGCTGGGCCCTGTGGAGATGTGAGCTGAGAAACACCCAAATGACAGAAAAATTAAATGGGTGTGAAATGTGACTTCTCCAGGTTGGCCAACCAAGACGTGCTGCCTCTCAAGAGAGGAGGAGAGAATGGCTGTAGGAGGCTTGTTGGTATGGGGCCAAATGAAAAAATAAGCATCTGATATTTCTACCTCAGTCTTCTCAAGACCTGGGGAAAAAGACCACCATAGGGTAAGAAAAATCCCACTGGTAAATCAAGGGATGTCAAGAAACTGACTGAGACATGAAATACCTAATACCAGACACCTATGTACAGATTCCTTGGGAACCACGAAAAGACAAGGATAAAATTCTGGAAAAGGATGAGAAAGCTATCTGATAGCCATTAGGTCCAACAATACCAAAAACCAACATTGGTAAGAAACAAAATCTCTTGGAAGAGTGAAAGTAACTGGAACAAGAGAGACAGTGGAGGAGGAGAAGAAAAAACAAAGGTTAAAGCTCTCTGACAGAACTTCCAGTACCTGACAATCAGTTGCAAACAGAGGACAAAGATCTGTAAACCAAATAAAACAGGCCCTACTGATCTTGAGCCTATAGGGCAGTCACCAAGACTGATAGCACTGAAGTCTATGAACAATGGCAAGACAGATGGGAACAGAAGAATGGGAAGTGTTGACAGGAAGAAAAGAAGAAGCAGAAGGGCAGGAGACAGAGAGTAGCAAAGAAGGAGCACACAACAGATGGTAAACCAGTGAGAATAAGGAATAACATTGGTATGCACCCTTGATATACAACTTCAGAGAAACAAGCACTCCTGTAGAAGCACACTGGCAGAGAAAAAGAGCCGGAGAAAGGCATATGAGATAAAAAGGAGGCAAAAGCATTTAAGTAACAAAGGTATCATGCCCCCACAAGCTCTAAAAACTAACCAGATATACAGTGATAAGACAAAGAAAGATAAACATGCTACTGTAGAGAAGATAAGTGAAGGAGCATCTGCCAAAATTCCTCAAGAGAATGGTGGATTACTATGAAAAGAAGGAAAAATAATGAAAAAGGATAGAGGTTGTAAGACGAAAGTGAGAAAACTTAAGCCTAAGAAAGACAAAGGATCTGACCTCCAAGTTGGAAGAAAAGATTCCAGAGTTGAAGAAAGGTAATACAGCATGAAGTAATGCCTAGTCATATGAGGTAATAAAGAAAAGAGGACGAGGCATGCATGCACCAAGGTATTAGTAAAAGTAATTGAATATGGACTTGCATATAAGGATAGGAAGTAAAGAACAAAATAAGAAGCAGGGAACGAATGACAAAGTGAAGGAAACAAACATACCTGAGAAACCCAGTCCCCAAGTTATGAAAAAGGCTTAGGTAGATTCAGGACAACATGTATAAAAAAAATAGGCAAAGGTAAGTGGTTGGCAAAATCCCTACCATCATGAGCAAGAAACATAAGTAGAGATTTGTCAGGTACAAAAAAAAGGGTCCAGGCTACATGAAAGACTCCACTACCCACCACACAAAAGCTGTCACATCTCCCATCAGACAGAGACAAACCCGATGTCAATGTAGTTGTTAGACTAGCATGAACAACATCTTGTTATCTAACACCATACAAAGTGGAGGTTACTGACATTTATGAAATAATAATGCAGAAATAAAAGGCCACAAAATCTGCAGGTGTAGAACATGTTGGAAAACAAAAATCCAACAAAAAAAACTTCCACAACATGTAATGTCTTTGAGAATACTTCCACTAAAAACAAAAAAAGGCCTATATCTGAAAAGTTTATGAGCAAATGTCAAATCAAGAAGTGATGATTGAACAACTGGTGTAGAGCAGGGGTGCGAAATGAGGGTCCAGGGGTGTGCGGAAGAGGCCTATACAAGGTCCGTTTTCCCCCAAATGTCACCAAGAGGAACTGTCTAATGCACACTTTTTAGGAGAGGGGTGCAAGAGCTTCCTTAGAGGTGTGAGGGCCACAAAAGGTTGGGAACCACTGGTGTAGAAAGAGTCAGCTGCACTAGTTTAGGTGGGAGCCTCAAGGCTAGTGGCAAGCAAAAACTGTGCATATAGAGGGAAGCACAAAATTGAAGAAAGCAAAGAATGTGAGTAGATGTAAATTATTGTATTGGAAAGCATGATTATTATTACTAGTTCTGTGCATGCTAAATTTATAAATTGACTTATGTCAAATAAAATATTCCACTAGTCAGTGTGTCCTATTCTAAAACTCAAGTAATATTCTGTGTAGCAGCACTATTGCATACATAAATACTAATGCCACTTGAACCACGTAACATTACTATGGCAGGCCAAAAAAATAAGAGTTGGCAATCATCCATTTACCAATCATTAAAACTTAACAGCTGTACAAAACAATGGAAATTTTTAATTATAATACACCTATGGAAAGCATTTAAATGCATCATTTCAATTTCATTAAAGTTATTGTCTTTAAGATAAAAAATGTAACAAATATGGAATTTTCAAAACCCACAAGTCACACATAATTAAAAACTGATACTTTCTTGTAACACTTTTCAACAAAGACAGTTAGTTATGACAAATACAACTATTATTGTGCTAACTGAGCTAAAAGAACACATTCCTTGCCTCATTCCAAAACAGAAACCATAATTCAAAAACATTATGCTTTATAAAGTGCAACTTGTTCAAATATTAACTAGAAAAAATACTCAAAGATATATTATTCTTCCATGATATTACTTATATATTGACCAACACCATTTAAATTTTCCACACTTAAGCCACAGACATTTGAATTCCCTGCAACTTAATAGTTTCTATGCCATAATTAACAACACTTGGCTTAATTTTAACAAAAGTTTCAGTTACAAATAGCTTCATTAAAGCATGTCAATTTACCAATCAAAAGCTGAAGTTCTTAAAATTTCCTCAACATTTTCCACATTTGATTGGTTATTTTCCAAATGCCAACATCTAATTAAGATGAGGATTTGCTGCACTTCAAATGGAGATAATTCTCAATCAAATAACTGATCTATACATACATATTTACCTATATAGTCATTTTGACCAAAGAGAGCTCGTTTCTCGTGCCACCTATCCTTTGGTTTATACTCTGGAATAGTTGGGATTCGTCTTGTGCTACCCGGTATTCTGGGTAACAGACCTAATACATCCATCATTACACATTAATAGAGAGCCATAACAACCTCAAAAAAAATAAATAAAACAAACTAAAAATATTGGTTATTTATAATTATATCTTGGTAATTATCACTAGTTCACCCATTCAAAATATATTTGGCCAAATTCTAACCCTATTATTACTTATTACACAACATTTTTTATGCATTCAGTGTAAAGAACTGGCTAAAAAAAATTAAATGAAATTACTCAATTTCTATGTCAAATCTTAAGGGGAATCCCAGCAGTAATTATGTGGATTAATTATACTATTGACAGCATTTTTGTTTATTCTGTTGTAACCCTATAGCCAAGAAAGCCATTGATACATAAGCAATTCAGTGTATTTGAACCCATGTCAGCAACTCTAGAGTTAAGTCACAAAATTACTATGTTTATTAGATAAAATAATATCACATTTGTGAATAAGTATGGTAATCTCAAGGTTAGCACAAAGTTACTCGATCTCCACAGAAATAAGAAGTTTGAGGATCTAGTATGAGGAAGAACAGGTGTAGTAATTTGTTTAAGGTGAAACTTAAAAGCTAAGTCTGATTAAAATAAAATATTTTATTTACTGAAGATGACCTGAACCTGACAAGCTGATCATCAAGTGACAAGATTATTGAAAATGAATAAAGATGTAAATAAATGAAAATAATTAAACAGTATCTAGTGGAAAGCTACCATACAATCAGCGGGTAATATACAAATGAAAAATGATTTGTTGTCCTCAAAGGTCAGGATGAATCTCATGTGAAAGCACCAAAATTGCATTCACAATACACTTTTTGTCTATAACTATCAATCAGAAAACAGGTACCAGAATGCAGAAATAACTCTTCTCCAAATAACAGTTGCAAAGTAGTCCTCTATAAAGACTAAGGGTAAAGTTATAATACAATGCAAGTACCCCATTAAGCAGCAAATGAGTTGCATGATTGGAAAGTCTACAGAAAGTAATACATCAAACTAAATTCAGCATGTGACCAACTGGATTTAACATGTTCCAGACTTAGAACTTACAAAAATTAAGATTTTGTAGAAATGAAATTTACACTAGAAGAAAGAAATATGTACTGTACTTGCATACTACAGGAGTTTCTGTTTAATTTACATTCCCTTAAAATCTCTTAAGGAATGTATATAAAAATGGCTTGTTTTATTAATATGACTATAAACATTTCACCAGCAGTTTTAAAACATAAATTTCAATATTTTGATACTTCTTATCAATCTAATGTACAATCTTGCTCAGTCTCTCTGTTTTATCACTCTGAAAAAAACAATAAACAGTTACAATCCAGTTCTAGGGTAATGCCAATTGCATTAAGATGGCATACAGTTTATATTGTAAAAAACATTACCAGAAACTATCAGAATATTTATGTATTATTTTATATATGGTGAGGCACAAGTTATTTGCCCCAATCACAATAACATAATCAACAATTTCCTTATTTCTGCTGTACAGAGTGTCCCAGAAATCTGGACACATAGGGAAAATACACAGTTTATTCTTAATTAATTCGTTATTCAAACCGCATGCCATTAATAGCCGTACACATATCAATTCTTGGTATACTGTGACATCAGGATATTTTCTTTCCTGAAATATCTACAACTGACATTAGAAATGTGTTTGTTGAACTTTAAGAATATAATGTCTATTTCCCCATGTGTCCAGACTTCTGGGACACTCTGTACTTTTCCTAGCACTAAAAGTTAAATGTGTTCATTCTCAATAAATGACAGATACAATTTAATCTAAAACATACAGGAAATGACATTGTATTTTTTTTAAATTATATGCTTTTGCTTCATCTTATATACAAGTATATAATCTATATATCTAGTAAATATAAAATTTTTATAAGCTAAATTAGTATTATCACAATCATATTTGTAAATGCAATTCCAGTTACAGTAAAATTCTAACCATTATGCTGATGAAAAAAATGCTTTCTTTCAAAGAAATGTATTATCCCTTTTACTCATATACATTATTCAGCAAAACTACAAGTTTATAACTTAGATTTACCTTATGTTAAAAATGTTCTGAATATGTTATTGGGCTCAACTTGGATTTCTAGCATGAAACTTGTGTTGATTCATTTTAACATATAGGTGTTTCTTAGAACAGTAAGGGAAATATACTTTGATATTAAACATAATTGTTCCACCTGAGTTTCTAATGATATTAGTATTGGTAAAATAACCTAGGTTACAGAGTTTACTAAAATATATTATTCAGCAAAAATAAAAATTTATAACTTAAATTTACCTTCTGTTAAGATGGGATCTTCATAACCATAGCGACGAATAATTTTTTTTTTGTAAAATGCCTAACAAAAATTGAGTTAGGGGACTGTCGGCAGCACAAGTTGATGAGATGTCCAAAAAACCCGACATCCTAGAATCAGAAGACATTACATTAAGCAACGTAATTCTTTCTCTTGCTAATCCAGTTCTAATTTCAAATGAAAAATAAACAAAATAGGATCTATTTACTGTTGAAAAAAAAAAGTTTATTTATTTGTTTCTAAAAAATTCTTCTGTTAAAGAATTTTAAATTTTTCTTTGTGCACCAATTTGGAATTACAAAATTGAAAACCACTTTCTTACAAAATACTGCAGTTTATCTTTTAAAATTAAATGAAATTTAAAATCACAACTGACACAGTGACATCAACTTCAATCTCTAATTGGAGTATTAGTATAATTCAACATTCAAAACTGCAATAATGAGGTTGATATGTAAATGATAAAATTTAAATGTATAAAGTTTGACTACACAGTTTCACAGTTTGATTTTTACAAGTGCTCCTGCCAACATGACAAGCTAGTTATACAGTATGATTACAATACAAAACTGAGGTACTTGTCTTACAGTGGATTTAATCTTAATAACAAATGTAATTCACCTGAATTTGATTTTAACCAAACTATCAACTCCTCTAGCCCTCACTTTATCCTACTGCTCAATAACATTTGTCATTTTTTTAAATGCAGTTCACCTTCAAATTAAACTAACATGCCAAATTTTAATGAAGGTTTCACACACAAATTCCACACTGTAAACTAAACACTAAATACATCATTTTCTAAGATCAGAAAAATGTACTAACTACATTATAATTGATCAATTATTGTAGTAGTTATATGCAAAATTTCAAAACACAGAGAATATTTCATTGTTGCTTGTGGTTGAAATATGGCAGGTCTCATTTACAAAAGCTGGATTTTGAGCATGTTTTAGTTTTTAGTGTTAACAAAATGGTAAAACAGACAATAAAGTATTAATTTACACTCCCTCCCCAAACTTTTATTACTGCAAATCTAGTGAGCAACCCTAGAAGATATTAAAAAGACTGACATCTCTAAGAACATGATTTGAGATTTTTAAAATTGGTAGAAACTTAGAATTCATAAATCCAGGTGATATTTTCATAAAAGCTGCAGGCAGCAGGATTACAGGATATAGTGTATGAAAGACACAAATATGACTCCTGTTAAAATAGTGTTACTTTACTAATAAGGCGGTCAGTCTATGGTATAACTTGTGTTCATCTGTAGTAGAACCTGCAACACTGAAAGAATTTAAAGAGGAAACTGGATAGCCATTAAAGATCATGGTTGGATATTGGAAAAAGACTTTCCATATGTAATTTGTAGCAGATTGATAGTACACAATGGAAAAGCTTAAAGTGACAAATGGCCCCATGTTATTCTTTAGAAATGAAATGAAATTATACTCTAGTCTAATTTTCATCTCTCACTTACTCAAGGAAATCAAAAGCTCAAAATCTTGCCTACAGTACAGTATCAATAGCACAATAGTAAAGTTAGTTAACTCATTATCGGTGTATCTTTGGTATTTTAGTTAAATACAATTACAGCAGAAATACTACTGAACAGCAATGTTACATACTTCACTGTTTGAATAACTAGCTTAACAATTAGACCATGAAATATCACTTATAATTTCTGGATGTGTACCTTACTTTTTGGCCTTACTGTTTGAATCTTTCACACACTGTTCAATAGTTTCCTTGACTTTAAGCAAGATTGTATATGGTAACACCTCTATCATAGGGACTACAGATTAGTTGTATATATAATAGTAACATTTAACTTATCACATAAGATATTTGGATGAATACAAGTTAAAATCAGTAATAACTGTAGTAGGGGTGTGGAGTTATAAACTGTAAAAGGGTATTTCAATTTGTAACTATAAAGATAACAGTTAGTTAGGTGATACTGAATTCTACTTTTATTTTGTTTTGTTTTTTACCATTCCTTTATTATTCCTTCTATCGTTTAGTTATATTAAAGCATTAACTCACCATCTTTCTTGAGCACTTTAATTTTGAGTATGTATGTATTATGAAACTGACAAAAGCTTCCCTTAGCAGTGACATACAGATATTAATGATGTGAAAGATTATGTAGGTTTATGGTAATAGCTAGTTACATAACATGTAACCTCATGGTCTAACCACCAAATAAAAAACCTTCCTTGATATTGAAAATGAGTTAGTTCACAAGATATTGTTAGAAATAATTACTGCCCAATATTGTTCTTGATATTGAGAAGTGTTCTCATTTTGAAACATTATTTTCTCTGGTGAATTAGGTTTTTTTTCTTCTTCTTCCTAATTCCTTTGATATTTATTGAAATTAATGTTTGTACCTAGTCTAGGCCAGGTACAAGTTTACTAATTATTTTTTGTAAGTGATAAAATTTGTACTCTAGTTGTTTGAAAGTTTTATTTTGGATTTTTCTTGTTATATTTTAATAAATTGTTTTTTTTACCCTGACTGTAGCAATATTTTGTTTAGTTCATCATGCAGTGACCTGAATCAAAATTTATATGTTGCAAAGAAAACATTATACACTTTTCATAAAATTAGTTGTTTTAAAACATATGGCAAATAACTTGATATTTGTAGTGGTCAAAGAAAACAGAAATCTTATAATGAAAATATTTCTAATACAAACTGAACTGATATATATGCCTGAATTGTAAAATACAGACAATCATGAACATGTACATATCTATTTGTAGATTGTGATCTGGGACACTAAAAAACAAGACTGAACAAAACAACAGGTGACAGAAAATATTTATGAGAAAATAATAATACCAATACATAAGAAACACATCAGTAGAAAATGCCAGCTGGAAAAGATGCACATTTTGGCAACAGTGTTAGGAATAAAACAACCTTTACTCTACAGACAATAACTACAGAGAAAAACTTATTTCAGCCAACGCCTTGCCATAGTGACTTCAACAGGGCTAGTAGTACAAGAACTATTTGATTTGATGCAAATAAAGTGCCAAGCACTTTTCATAAACAAGCTGTTTTAAAATTAAAACATGTGGCAAATAATTTGTTTTAATGATATTTTTTGTGGTTCAAGAAAACAAAAATCTTATAATGAAAAACTATTCTAATATGAACTGAACAACTGATATATGCCTGAATTGTAAACATATATTTTTTAAATCAAACATTTCTTGTACTACTAACTCTGATGAAGCCACAATGACAAAATGTTGGCTGAAACAAAAAAATGTTTGTATTATTATCTAGAATAAATGTTGTTTTATTTTTCAAACTTTATTGTAAAAATATCTAAACTTCCAGTATGCACTACAAATCCTGAAAAACAACAAAGATACACATGTACACCTACTATAACTAAGATGATCTTATTGTTAGAAGGAACTATCATCAGTATAATGAAGAAAAAACAAAGAACTGTAGCAAACTGAGAAATAAATAATACAAACAAATAGGGCTGCCACCTATTATATATTGTATGGAACTATTCCTTATTTTGCCAAGGGTACATCACTGTCTTCTAAACCTTAGTTTCCTCCAATGTTATAACTTGAAGAAAATGCCAAAAATCAACAAATACTAACAAAAGTTCAAGTGGCAACTCCCCAAATAAGCTATCAGTACAAGGAAAGTATTGTATGGTTCTTGAACTGTAGATGGTATACTTCTATCCCAACTTGTACTTTTGAAATAAAGCAAAAATCTCATTAAAATACTTACATTAAGTAGTGTAAGTTGAGAATGTTATGATACAAGTTAAAGTATACAGCAATATACCTAATTATAAGCATACATCTGTATCAAACAATCTTGATGTTAATAGTTTTGTTGCCTTATAATTTATTCTAATAATATTCGAACTTTAGGTAATGCATTTTATACTGTCCTTTACAAATTCCATTGTAAATTAAATTAGGTTTCTTCTAATAACTGCCCCAAGAAAATCAAATTTTCAACTTATAAAATTAATGTCTAGCTGTTGTTTTTTTTAAAGAGTATTTCTTCTACAAATGCAATTTAAAGTACAAAGCATCACTTTGTTCAGTGTTGCAAGTAGCATTCTTTTTGCCTTATGGCAACATTAATTGAGCACAGAAAACCTGTTATATGTACATATTTAAGTTGCATTGTAATGTGAAACTTTATAAGATTTCAAAACACTCAAAACTGGTTTTATAAGGTCAAAATACAATTAAAGTGTCTTATGTGCATGTTCTATGTCACACAATGGGAGTATTGAAATGATGGGCTTTCTTTCCCCAAAATCACTAGTGTTGAATACTGATTTATAATTCCAAGACTTTCCTTTTCCTGCTTTAGTAAACAGGCCCAGGATGACATTGTAATGTCGAAACATGTAGAGTCGTCAACTTTTTGAAGGCCATAGATAGGCCTAAATAAAATGTTTTGAATTGTGTA